ACATTGCTAAACATGCCTGCCTGAACAATCTCATGTGACGAGTACTCATTCCGAGCGGATTTCCCAAGCTAGACTCTTGCTCCGTTGACCGTTGATGCGCACTGGCATGCCGTAGGACGGCGAACCTACCGACCGGCCGGCCACCTTGCGCCGGCTCGTAGCAACTTGCAAGACCAAGGGCCGAGTTGGCAACTGTACATGCAAGGGCCGGGGCCACAATCCCTGAGGGTGAAAGAGTTGCGGGGGGCCACCATCTCGGCCAAGGTTGCCAAGATCCAGGCTCCGATGTGCAACGTCCAGCCACTCAACGGACGCGCAGTCCGCACCGGACCCTTGCCGGTGCCGAGTCCAAGTGGAGATGAAGCTGCAGGTCTGTTGGACCGGCCAGGTCCTCTTCTCTCTCTCCTGTGACTACTGAGTACTCTATGGGTATGTGAGTGACTTTCTGTGTTGTGCTAACTCCAAAGTCCATGAGACTCTTTGGCAACGGCTCCGAGCATGGCAACCTCGCCTCCAGGATTGCCCCTAACCCATCATCTCCCACGAGGAGGTTAGCATTGTTCATCTCCCTCGGACGGGGTCTCGTCTCTGGTAGGATTCACTTTAATGCCTGCTATCAACGAGCACATTTGACCAATTCTGGAACCCCGGGCGAAGGATGATTGCCACGCATCCGCCGCTATCAGTTGCTCCGGAGAGAAGTCTCGGCCGTCAATATTGGGCTCTTCCTCGTTCTTGTCCCTTTGCCCCCTTCACGCCCCCTCTCTTATGGCCTCCTGAGAAAGGCATGGGTTCTCTCCGTACGGATAGTGTAGAATAGCCCTTGCAAACATTGCCTCTCGGCCGTGGACCGTGGATGCTTTGACCTACATCAATACGCAATAAGGTAATGCCTCCCAGACGTACAGCAACACTATTGCCATCGAGCCCACTCCTGCCCGCTATTATACCTCGTCGACCATCGTTCGATTCCCTTCTAGGTGGCATAGCACATGTTGGTTCTCGTCCTTTGCAAACGGGTATCGCACCGCTTCGGCCTCTCTACCGTCTGTTCCCATTATCCAACGGTCCAACGTTCCATTTGCTCATCTCGGTCTCCACGCGTTCACCCCGCTGTTGTCGTTGGAAGAACCGCGAATTAGATCTGCGAGGTCTTATATTTGAAGCACTTCGTCCCATCTCTGTTAATTGTCTCTTACTGCTCCCCATCCGTCCATCGGCAGCACTCGCGTCTGACCCCACGTGGTAACCATGTCTTCGATGCGTTCCCTCTTGACGGCGGCTCTGCTATCTGTCAGCCACTTGGCTGCGGCCCAGACTATCGTCGTCGACGGTCAAGAAGTTGGTGAGTATTCTACCGTCTATTCAACCCTTCAAAGACTGAGGTAACTGACTTGTATGTCCTAGCCGCCGACGCCTCGACTGTTGCCCCGGCCGCTGAGGTTGCTGACGTCTCCATCGCCAGCACCTCTGCCGGCCTTTCTGAAGGGGAAAAGCTTCAGCTCACCGATGCCGTCCTTGCCAACCTCACAGCGCTCCAGCTGTCTAACATCTCCCTGTTTGGCTTCGAGGATGGATCTTCGGTCAAAAAGAGATCGCTCTTTGGCCGATGCAAGACCTATCCCGGAGACCTCCTGTACCCGATCGGCCTTGTCTGGGACATCTTCAACCTCCTTCTGGGAGGTGCTCTCACCAAAACCATCCCGGAGGCCTCTGTCTGCTACGATGATTTCGGCAACTATGATCAGGCAAAGTGCGACTTCTTGACCGCCAACTGGGTCAACGGATCATACTACCACACCGAGGACCCCACGGCCATTAACGCCGTCCTCTTTGAGGGCCTCAACTGCATGCCCCCTACCATCAATGTCGGCGAGACCAACTGCAAGGTCGGCGGCCTGCCTTCCTACGTTGTCGAGGCCACCACCGTTGCCCACGTCCAGCTGGCCGTCAACTTTGCACGCAACCTCAACCTCCGCCTCGTCGTCAAGAACACTGGTCATGACTTTGGCGCAAAGTCTACCGGCTACGGTGCCCTATCCATCTGGACACACAAGTTCAAGAACATTGACTTTTACGAGAGCTACCAGCAGGACTCATACAGCGGTCCTGCTTTCAAGCTCAGCGCCGGCGTCCAGGCGTACGAGATCTACGAGGCTGCCAACAAGTACGGTGTTACCGCTGTCGGCGGAGAGGGACAGACTGTGGGTGTCATGGGCGGTTACGTCCAGGGCGGCGGGCACAGCCCCATGTCCGGTCTGTACGGCATGGCGGCGGACAATGTCCTCTCCTTCGAAGTCGTCACTGCTGACGGCCGCTTCGTGACAGCCAGCGAGTTCCAGAACTCTGACCTATTCTGGGCCATCCGCGGTGGTGGCGGCTCCACGTACGGCGTTGTCACCTCTGCCGTCGTCAAGGCACAGCCCAAGATGAACATCACTACCATGACCTTTGCCTTCTCCAGCGGTGACAACTTGACCACCGACCAGTTCTGGACCGCGCTGCGCTTCTACTTTGACGGCTTTGTCGAGTACGCTGTCGACAACGCCAACTACGGATACTTCCGCATCCAGAACCTCGGCACCTCCTTCGCCTTCGATATGGGCCCTTGGTGGGCACCCAACATGACAAAGACCGAGCTCGCTGCTCTCGCGGCTCCCCTCTTTGCCAATTGGGCCGCGATGGGCCTCGTCGTCGAGCCCGTTTACACCGAGTACGACAACTTCTACTCGGCCTGGCAAAACTCGTTCCCGCTGGAGCCTTGGGGATCCAACGCCATCCGCCAAGCCAGCCGTCTCTTCCCCCGAGCCAACTGGGAAGACGAGACCAAGCTCAACGCCACCTTTGAGGCCATCAAGTCCGTTTCCGAGGAGGGCGGCTACATCGTGGCCTTCAACATGATGGCGGCGCCCAAGACGGGGTACCCGGATAACGCCGTCAACCCGGCGTGGCGCGAGGCCGTCATGCACTGCATCACCGCCGCCCTCTGGGACCCGACCGCCAACGAGACCGTCATCAAGACGGCCAGCGACAAGCTCACGTTCGACTGGATGCAGCGCTGGCGCGACGTCTCCCCCGGCGCGGGCGCGTACATGTCCGAGTCGGACTACATCGAGCCCGACTTCACCCAGGCTTTTTGGGGTACAAAGTACGCAAAAGCCCTCGAGCTTAAGAAGAAGTATGACCCCAACGATGTGTTTTACGCGCAGAACGGCGTCGGTTCCGAGAGCTGGGAGATGTCGGAGATGATTATGGGCAACTTGCCTTCGCAGAACAGCAAGTTGTGCCGCAAGCAGTAGTGTATATCTATCTTAGAGTGTTGTGTAATCAAGCCGTTAGGGATGTCTTAGGCGGTGTTCGAACTTCGATGTATATATTGCCGCTGTATATAAGAGTGGCTGGCTCGATTAGCTGCTTAGACCTTAGATCGCGGATCGTGAAATGATCTCATGACGCATTAGAATGGCGAACTTTACGTTCTTACTTACCTATTCGAACCTGACTTTTGATCTAGTCCCATAAGCATGTCTTACTCCGACGAAAGTGACTATGTTTCATTCCTCGCAATTCTCGTCGCAAGGCAGACGCAACGCGGATCGCTAGGGTTAAGTCTTGTCCGGGCTGCATTGGGTGAGAAACCTGTCTTCATTTATTGCCGGTGACTTTGCCAGTTCTGAGAGATCAAACTCTTAGTCTCAGTGTATTTATTCGTCGAGGCATTTCAGGAAAAATACAAATAGCCAAATTGACAATAGTGTGATATATGCACAAGTCACATAGCTCCCACGGATAACTAGACCTGCGGCTCTTCGTCTAGGATAGAATGACAATTAGTTTAGAAATAGTATAGAAACAACACCGCAAACCTCCATATTATAAGTCCATCAGCCTATCAACGATCCAGCCAAAACTGACGAGAGAATGGGTCACGAGAAAGGCAATCTGAATGAGGTAGAGCCCTTGCGATTCTTATGGTGAGGTTCATCTTGTTCCTCATGTCCATGAAAACGGCAGTCGAGTGCTGAGTTACTCATGACTGAGACAAAAATTGCTGGCATTGTTGGTATACACGCCAGAAGGGAAAGGTCTCTCGGTCGGTTCGAGCTCAATAATCTGTCACTGGCGTAGTTATGTATATGGAAGGAGGAAAGAGTGACCGAGGCCCATGGATTCTTGGAGTTAAAGTAGGTACGAAAAGGTCATTGCAAACGGCCCTTACCGCCTTCAAGTTACCTCTTTTATGACCTCATATTCCAATAAGAACGAAAGTGCCAAAGCTCTTACAGCGGTGTAAGAGCAGTGTAGGAGCAGAAAGGAAGCTTGTTCTTGGATCTTCAGCCTTTTCTTCGTAGTACGAAGTTACTGAAGATATCAGTGTGAGTATGTAGATTAAATATGAGATATAGTGTGCAGAATAGCAAAAGATTTATAGAAATGCTACGGGAGAGGAGACTGACGGTTATTTGACTTTGGAGGTGTCATTCCCCGCGGTTTCTGACGCATTACTTAGGCCACGAAGTGGATAAAATCGAATGCCCATTGTAGAAGAAAGAGATCAAGATTCCAAAAATAGGACTATTAATGAACGAGTATTCCTGCAGTGGTGGAAGAAAAGCTTTTCTATTGCGTCGGTTGTTTATGCCGTAAAGGTGAGTGTTGCCGAGATGACGCTGGTTTGACGTGTTGAGGTAAGGATCATCTGGTCTTCTAAGTTGCATAAGTAATAGAGACACCATTTGTAGTGTATCTTGGGGTTTTGCAGAGCATATTAAGAAAAGATGTTCTGCTATTAAGAGAACGAGCGAGAGGTGGGAAATCAGAAGAGGGCATTGCAAGGAATGAGGCGCAGTATGGCGAATCAGGCATCTGCCAAGCGATGCTGGTCGTCCCCTCAATTGGGCATATATACTAGGCTGACAACTGACAGTTGAAGCCCTCAGTTATCAGCCTTTTTTCGGTCAAACCACAAGCTTACTGTATGTGTAGCTTGCCACCTTCAGATGCACCAATGTCGCCCGACTGACGCTGCTCCCTCCACTCTCACTGTCCAGTTTCGAAACCGCGTACAGTAAGCTGTTATTTGCAATTCAAAACCCAAAGGACAGCACAAGAACAACATCTGAAAGCATATGGCTTGTGAACACTGACAATTTGGTGTTGGAAGAGGTCTCGGAGCCTTCGTCGATCAAGTATGCCATCCTGTCGCATACCTGGGCAGACGATGAGGTGACCTTTCAAGACTTCCACAACATCGAGCGAAGTGGCGCGAGACATAAGTCCGGGTTCTCCAAGATTCAGAAGACCTGTGAGCTTGCGCGCCAACGAGGCCTTCACTATGCGTGGGTGGACACTTGCTGTATCGACAAGTCGAGCAGTGCAGAACTCAGCGAGGCTATCAATTCCATGTTCTCGTGGTACAAGGAGTCCGCCGTCTGCTTTGTCTTCCTGTCGGACTTACCAGCGTCTGAGAGGGAAGTCGAAAAGGTAGAAACGACGTCCGTCTTTCCCCACACCCAAAAGACATTCGCTGCCTGTCGATGGTTCACTCGAGGATGGACTTTACAAGAGCTCATTGCTCCGAGCGAGGTAGAATTCTTCGATTCCCAATGGGAGCAGTTCTCTCGGAAAGCCGATTGCCTTGATAAGCTGGAAGAAATTACCGGCATACGCCGCTCAGTTCTAGAGTCTTCCTCAAACTTACGACAGACTCCAACAGCAGTAAAGATGTCATGGGCAGCATCTCGCAAAACGAAACGTGTCGAAGACCGTGCCTACTCTCTTCTCGGCATTTTCGATATCAATATGCCAATGATATATGGCGAAGGATCCGAGGCCTTCCGTCGCCTTCAGGAGGAGATATCTCGAGAGACGAACGATCTGTCCCTGTTCGCATGGAAGGGCCATCCCCAGGGTTCTGTGGGATCTCAGATGTCCAGAGGCATCTTTGCGAGGTCGCCAAGCGAGTTTAGCTCCTGTTCAACAATGCAAAGGTCCGGCACGAGACAGGACTCACACAGCGAGTTCACTCTCACCAACAAAGGTGTCCGATTTGAGACAAAGTTGTACAAGCATACACACGGGGCGTTTGTCATGTATTTGGGGTTTAGAATGCACGACACTCCCGTCTGCATCATTCTCACACGCACACTAGAAGGCTTCGTTCGAAGCGAACCTTGGTCGTTGACGTACAAGCCGTCCTGGAACCTATCTAGGGCTCCCAACTTTTTCGCAATTCACGTCCAAAAGGATGTAAGCTTCCAGGAAGATGCCACAGCCTCTAGACAGAGGCATAGGTCATTTCATGTCAACATAGACCTTCAGACACCCCTGAAGCTTTCAAAGCTTGAGTCGCATCCGGAAAATCAGTGGGACGAGTTCCACTCACCTTTCATCTCCGGCATCCCTGATAAATCTTATGCTGTCAGGCTCAATTTCCTAATCCGCGATACCAAAAGGAACTTTAAAGAAGACTTTGCTCTGACTCTTGCGTTGGGATGGGCCAGTTCGCGTCAACAGCCCTTCGCCGTACTTTACGGTCCTGATCGGTTGGTGGGCAGTGACAAGCAACTAACGATCAGAAACGTCCTCCCGGATAACTTCCCGGACCTTGTCAAAGACGATCTCGACTGGGGTAGTTCGCAAGAAGAGGCATTTGAGAAGGCACTTCTGAGCATTTGCACAAACCCTCAATTTCAGGCTACGGAGGTAGATTTCGTCACCAGGAAGATAACTTATGAGCAACGTGGCGATCGCATGGTTACATATTACCACGCCACTTTCAGGGTCGAATTAGAGACGTACCAAGATCACGACGGCATCATAACCTATCGTGCTTCTCTGTCTGGCAAGATCTAAAGAGTGGAGAGTCGCAATGTTATGTTGGCTTTGAAATCGACATGATCAGATTCAGCCTGATAACCGGGAGTTGAGTGTCCTATATCGCTCTATTCTGACTAATACTAAATTTCCTATGCACATCATATTCTGAGGGCGCAATGTATTTAGGTATCACTGTAGGAGTTAAGACCACCGTCTTTATTTTTAAGGGACCAATTCACCCGATCTAATGGACTTGGTCGACTATGCAACATTGTATTCTTAGCCACCGATTTAATGTCCTGCCACATACAGTGTGCTGTAATTCCGGCTTTGGTCAGCTAAATATATTACATGTAACATATGATGGTCAATGGTGAAGCGCCCAAGAGCCAGCAGACGGTGAAGATGGAACTAGCGACATTGGGAACCAGGAAGCCGCGCGTAGGTGTATGCTTAAACCTTTCTCTTTGCGGCGATCCGGTGCCTCTCGTCTCTCTTCCAGAACTAGATTTGCCTAGAGACGTGTCACTCACAACTCCTCGACTTGTCAGCGGAGATGAGTGGTTGTGATGAAAGCTAACGGGAGGCTGACGGGAGCGAGCCACGTGAAGGTACGTACTGACCACCAGACCCGCTTAATTATCACGCTAGTCCACAACGGAGCAGGCGCATAACCTGCCTTGCGAATTTCAAGGTGACATCTCTCTGATTTCTATCCAAACACAGCTTCACGAAGGCAGCCGATCATCATGGCCTCGATCGCAGCATCACTGGCCTCGGCCCTCCCGAAACCCAAGTACACTGGAGAAGATGAGGAAGCTCCCTCACGCGCTCTGCAACGCGGCCCCCGTATCGTTGGTGCCGGCCAGCTGGACGAGACGCAAATCGTGCTGAAGCGATCGGGCCCTCCACCATACCAACAGCGAGCAGGATGGCGACCGCGAGGACCCGAAGACTTTGGCGACGGTGGCGCGTTCCCCGAGATACCGATCGCTCAATACCCGCTCGACATGGGAAAGAAGGGCGCGACGACCAGCAACGCGCTCGCCATCCAGGTCGACGGCGAGGGCAAGCTCGACTACGGGGCCATTGCGCGTCAGGGCCACGCCGAAAACCGAATCGTTCATACCTCATTCAAGGATCTGATTCCCCTCCGCCAGCGCGCCGACGCGGGCGAAATCGACCTGAGCCGACCGAGTCAAGAAGAAGTGGAAGCGACGGCGGAAAAGACGAAGAATGCACTGGCAGCGCTGGTCAGCGGTGCCGTAGCCGCCCAGAAGCCAAAGACGCTCAGTGTCGGAAAGCGAAACGATCCGACATTTGTGCGATACACGCCGGCAAATCAGATGGGTGACAACTCGACCAAGCAGGATCGCATCATGAAGATTGTAGAGCGGCAAAGGGACCCGATGGAGCCTCCCAAGTTCAAGCACAAGAAGATTCCCCGTGGACCACCGAGCCCGCCACCTCCCGTTCTGAGATCGCCGCCACGAAAGCTGACGGCAAAGGACCAGGAGGATTGGCGCATTCCCCCGCCGGTCTCCAACTGGAAGAACCCGAAGGGTTTCACCGTCCCCTTGGACAAGAGATTAGCGGCCGATGGACGCGGACTCCAGGACGTGGCGATCAACGACAAGTTTGCTCAATTTTCCGAAGCGCTGTACGTCGCAGACAGGCACGCCCGCGAGGAAGTCCGACAGCGTGCAGCCATGCAACAGCGTCTGGCAGAGAAGGAGAAGGCGCAAAAGGAGGAGAACCTCAGAATGCTGGCCCAGAAGGCTCGCGAAGAACGGGCCGGCGGGGGCAGACGGGACTCACGATCACGGTCACGGTCACGCAGCTACAGCGGCTCAGACTCGGAAGACTCAGACGGTTCGGAGGACTCTGAGATCCGGGAGAGAGAAAAGGCACGAAAGGAGCGCATGCGTGAGGAGGAGAGGAAGCTTCGGCAGTCACGTATGGGTGCCGAGAGGAGAGTGCAGGTCATGGCAAGAGAGCAAAACCGCGACATTTCGGAAAAGATTGCTCTTGGTCTTGCCAAACCTACCCAGTCCAAAGAAACCATGTATGACTCGAGACTTTTCAACCAATCCAGCGGCTTCGACAGCGGCTTCAACGAGGACAACCACTACGACAAGCCGCTTTTCGCCGCTCAAGAGGCCATTGGCAGCATTTATAACCCGCGAGCCAACATGGACGATGAGGACGACGAGGCAGCAGGTGATAAGGAAATGGCCAAGATCCAAAAGACCAGTCGGTTCGGCGAGGCTTTGGGTAGGGGGACGTTCAAGGGCACAGAAGATGTCGAGGTTAGTACACCATTTCGAACGAGAGCAAAGGGCAGTGCTAACAAACATTTTCCACAGGCGAGAGAGGGACCAGTGCAGTTTGAAAAGGATGCCGGGGACCCCTTCAACGTGGACAAGTTCCTGTCCGAGGTGGAGCAAAACTCTTCGTCAAAGAGGGGTTACGGTCTTCAGGACGATGATTCTCGGCAGCCGAAGCGGGCGCGAGTAGACGAGGATGATGATTAAACCAGGCCGGTTTTCTTATTGTTTCCATATAGCCAACCAAAAAAGCTTCTTGGCTTCATTGTACGACAAAGTAGGGGACGTTTTTTGGACTGGCATCGAGATGGGCGCCCTTATTCGGGGCATCGGAAACAGCCTCGCAAAATGCAAAATTGCAAGGCATAATGCAGAAGTGCAGTACATGCACAAAATCGATTTGAGCCCAAGAGACGTGGTGAAGAAATATTGGATGATTGCGTAGACTTCGTGGGCCCTCTTTTGTGTGTTTTAGGGCGGAAATTCTCTTGACTTTTTGGCTTGAAGCCGACTGGATGAGCTGGTGTAGCGACGCTGGCTGTTTCAGGGACGGCGAATTCATGCGGACTTTTATCTTCGGACTGGTTGCGGCAAACTCATACTTCTCTCTTCCAAGACAAGGCCGAGAACCGGACGAAAGACGGACGGAACCATTTGTTTTGGCACCTCTAAAGCAAACTACTAGGCTGGCTACTTGCTGGGTTGACAGGCAGGCATTGAAGTCGGTAAAACTTGTCAGAGTTGGGTGTCGGCGGGAGTGACAGTCATGGCCGGCGAGGGGCACGTCGTGGGGTGTCATTGGTGGTTTGCAAATGTGGCCCGGGAGTTGAACCAAGATCCAAGACATCAGGCGAGCTAGGGGGGAAAACAAATAGTTGAGACGAAGATCAGGCAGTGATGTGGGAAACGTGGGTGGTGGCTGGAGCATTGGACGTTCCGGGCCTATAATTAAAGTCTGTATTGTCCCCTTGGTAAACTTGGTATGTAAGGTGGTAGACCAGAAGCTTTGGTTGACAGGTTTTCTTGTTGAAACAGTTGCGTTTTCTTGCTCTCGTGGTTTAAGCTCCGAGTCGGAGACTTTGCCAATGCCTTGGCTGTGAACCAACCGGCTTTTAGGAATATGACTGTTCATGCGTTCTTAAGAAGATAAGAGTTTACTGTTTGGAAGGGTTGCTGGGCAGTTGCGGAGTGTAGCAAAAAGGTGGGTTACTGTGAAGTATGAAGTGAGGAGAGTTGGTGTTTTGTTTGAGGCATCGTGAGACGAGAGACAGAGGAGAAAGCAGTAGCAGAGGATGGAATGAGAGAAAGAGGCAAGAGCTGTTGTAAGCTTAAATCTATGCCAACCGCCAGCGGGAAGGCTACCAGAGTTTGATCTTACATGCTATAGGTATTTAGGCTTATGTTCGCATCACGCATGTTGGGCTTTCCGGGCCATATGCGACCCAGTTCAAATGTTCACTCAAACACCTCCAACTGCTCCCCGATGGACAGGTACGCGGATGTCAAATATGCTGATCAGTTCTCCCGATCTCGTTCCACGAGTTGGGCTGGGGCCCATTGCAGGAGCGGCAAGCCGAACCTGATCCGAATTCGAGCTGGCGGATCCCCAGGCGCAGATCAATCACGAAATGGTTCGCCGCACATCAGCAGTCGATCTTTCAATGCGGCTCCCAGTCATGTCAGGTCCGCGGACTGGCTGTGAGACATTGCAAACCTGGCAGCCGTTCCGTCTATTCTTGCTCATTCCCTCGTTACATTTCATTTCTAGTTCCCGACGCTAGATATCTTTCTGATAGTCGCTCTCGTTCAAGTTCTGTGAAGGAAACCCTCTGAGATCAAAGCGTCGGCATGAGACGAGGGCTGATAATCAAGCTTGATTCCCATCACCCGTAAACCAGGGTCTTGCGAAAGTAATTCCATGATTCAGAGAAAGACAAACGACATCGGATCAATGATCGGGGAGCAAGCAGGGAGAGAAGACAAGACCGCACACTTGACATAGTTCTTCGGGCCTTTTGGCTGAGAAAAGGCAATGCATACGACAAGCTGCGCGGGTCCCATTTCATTGACTTCCAGACTCAGAGTTTAGGGCTTCACGGACGGTCCAACTTGGCTCCTGTCGCCAAGCCCTTTAGTGCTTGGGGGTTCGGCCTCTAAGCCGTGCCCTGCTCACCCCTGACTCCAGAAGCCAAGCTTGTTTTTCCAACTTCCATACTTCCTCCAAATGGTTTTCCTTGTCCTTCCTACCCAGTTCCAGTCACTGCCAGTCCAATGCATGTCACATCGGACACCGTCGACGTGCATCCGCTATGAGGCGCTATGAAGCGTCGATCTTGCCGGCTGCTTCATCCGACATCGACTTCAACCCCGTCTCTTTTACATTCCTACCATCTCGTGCGGCGGCGACAACAATAGCCAAGACTTCGGATTCATTTTGCCTCTTTGACACCGTCGTCTGTTATCATCGCCCGCGCAGCAAAGATAATAATGAGATGCTGTCTGGGAGCCGAGGCAGGTCACTGACAGTTGGGAACGCACTCGCACTCGCTCGCTCTTCATCTCGAGGCTGCAACAAAACCTGGCATCCGGTCCTCCTTTCGGGCTGAGGGGCAAGCCCTGCCTCGCACATTGACGCTGGGTAATGCCCAATCTAAGTATCTCACTCGTGAGTCGTCTGTCCCTATCATAACGACGCAGGCCGAGGAACCC